CCGAGATGTTTGTCTTCTTGACTCTAAATCAAGGGCAGAAAGATAAAGTCAGGCCCACTCCACTTACTAACATGTAAGCTAAAAATCTTAGTAAATATCTGTACGCACAGAATGGACCACCATGGAATTGTTATTCACCATCATCAAGGGCTGCCTAGGAGCACATGCCTGTAAGGTAGTCAGGAGGCTGAAGCAGGAGGACTGTGAGTTCCAGGCCACCTTGGACAACTGAGAAAGACCTTGTCTCAAAATAAAATACATACAGCTGGGGATGTAACACAGCTGGGGATGTAACTTAGTGCTAGAGTGCTCACTTGGCACTGAATGTAGGTTAAGGATTAAGTACTAGGGACTGTGTGAGGCCCTGAATGCAATCCGTAGTACCAAATGCGGGGGGGGGACCTCAAGAAAGGTCAAATTCGTTGACCCATCCATCTTTCCATACCTCTATCTATTCATCCTTCTATCCATCTGCCCACTCATTTACCTACTGTTATGGTTTATACACTGTGTCATCCTGAGAAGTCTAGAAGTTTAACCAAGTGATTCAGCAGTTCTACCTCCTAGAGTGTAGAGAACAAGCACTTCCTCTTCTAGGATACTGTTCATTGTGTCAAGCTGAGAAGGTCAGAACTTTACGTGACTCAGCAGGGGGCCAGGGTCCCTAGTTTGTAACCTCCTCAGCCTGTGCTGAGGCACCCAGGTGGTGTGAGTGCTACACCCAGCCTAGGGGAGCAGCTTGCATAGTTTAAAAGGTACATGAGGGGCTGAGGATTTAACTCAGCAGCATAAGCCCCTTCCTGGCAAGCTTAAAGTCATGAATTCCATCTCTGGTGGTACCAAAGGCAAACCAGGAGGGACTGACTGCTGCTTCTTTGGAGGAGCTCCAGTTTTCACCTTCAGCTTGGTCATTTCCTGGCTTTTGGCATAGACTGTTCGGCTTCTGCCTGGGACTCTGCAGCCTTAAGTCGTAGGCTCTTCAGTCTTCCATTGTAGATTCTTCCATCATAGACCCACTGGCTTCCTGATATGGACTTGCACAGGGCACTGCAGTAAGCTCCAGCCCTTAGGCTGGACCCTTTAACCTCTAGTGTGCAGACACCCTCAGCACACTCCCTTATATTCAACTTTGTGGCTGGCCACTGTAAGCTCATCTTGTAATTTCTTATACAGTTGTACATCTTGTGTTATATCTGTTTCTCTAGTAAACTCTGACTGAAATATCCGTCTCTCCATCCATCCATCCATCCATCCACATATCTGGTCACTCATTTGTCCACCCATCTGCACCTCTATCCATCCACCTGAGGACTGGTCATCCATGTGGTCATTCATCCATCTATTCATCAACCAGTACATCCACCTAACTAACCATTTATTTAATACTTAGTTCCCCTGTGCAGGAACTACGCTAGATACAAGTTACTGGAAAATGCAGAAGTAAAATCCTGGTCTTCCAGGAGCTCCCAGAAAAAAAAAAGGTGTGGCAAGAGTGTCCACAATGTGAGTGCGAGAGTCACCATCCTCCCATGCTATGTGCAGCCTGCATCTTCCTGAAAGGTAAACTCTTAAAGCGGCAGAGAAGAAGGGAAACAAGATCACTAATCCAAACTGTCTGGTGTCCTTAAAAGTCCGGACACACAAATACCCAGAGGGACAACCAAACAGAAGGGACATGGGAAGAAGTCAAGCGTCCACAAGCCAAGGAGAGAGGTATTAGGGGAAACAGCCCTGCATCTACCTTGAAACCTGACCTCCAGCCTCTGAGGCTAATGGGGTGCAATTATGGCTACTATAGGAGCCCCGATGCCAGGGCGCCCCATCAGTAGGAGACTGCATCTGCAAAGATACCTTGAGCTTTAGGGCAGGCGCGGAACTTGGAAAGCTGTCAGCACTGCTAGGAAAGGGCCTCGTACAGGTAAGATGGGGAACTCACTATAGGTGAGCAAATACCCTTGGACCCACTGAGGTTCAGGTTTATTGTAACCCAACTACACCTATTTCCCTATAACACAATCAGAGGTCACAGCACCTTCATCTCCAACTTCTGCTGGGCATACCATGTAAGTTTTCTTTTTTCCGGTACTGGGGAATCAAGCTGAGCGGCTCAGGCATGCCAGGCAAGCACACTACCACTGAGCTACGCCCTTGGTCCTTTTTACATTCACACAAGGTCTTGCTGAATTGCCCAAGCTAATGTCCAAACTTGTGATCCTCCTGCCTCAGCCTCCTACACTCAGTCTAACTTTTTAAGAGTTACAATTCTGTGCCAACCTTTCAGGTATGAATATCTGCATCATTCTTTCCCAGTTTCTTTCCTCAAGAAACATTTGTTTGACTTGGATAAGACCAGCAAACAAAATAAGTCCAATCTCAACATTCTCCTATTATTCCAATGGAATGCAACAAAAACCACTTTTTATTACTATACATCAGTCACTGTATCAGTCATCTATTCATTATACAGATGTGCGTACTTGAAACTTGCACACAATCCTGGGTAGCTTTCACTCTCTGCATCAGAGACTGTTTTTTGGCAAAACACTCTTTCGCCCACATTTTGTTAGGCTGCACTTAGTTGTGGAAGCATATTTTTTCTTGCTGATCCTTCAGAAAATGAAACAGTCTCTGGGATTAAGTTGAAAAAGACTTTCTGACAATTGCAGTGTAGAATTTCATTGCACTTTGGCACTCTTAAAACACACACACACACACACACACACACACACACACACACACACACGATGATTCTGAAAACTGCTGGGTTTGTACCTCAAATGCAAAAAGCTTCCAGAACTAATGTCTTCATGGTCGTTGCAGTGTGCTGGGGGACAGAGCCATGCTAAACAAAGCATGTGACCCTCCTCCTGTCCCTCTGGACCCTTTCAGTATTGACGGAGCCCTACACACACAGACACACACACACCATGCTCATTCTACCTTGCACAGTGACATCCTCTATGCAGAATGGAGGCTCTAACCACCGGCCCCAATATGTGCCCTCTGCCCAAGCACACACTGCTGGCACAGGGTGCTGTGCACAGCCCCCCTCTTGACCCAGGCTGCCATGCACACTGTACCGCTGGCTCCACAACTGCAGAGGCGCCTGGACGCCAGCTTGGCAAATAGACCACAGCTGGCGCCTGGCACATGACCTACTGCAAGCCCACAGGGACAGAGCTGGAATTGTGCCTCGCCAGCACTGTGATGTTTTGATGGGGGATTATTCATCAGCCTTTCCTACCGTTCTGCTTCTTGCTCCAGCTACACAGTGTTAAGCAACTGAAGGACTTTCCACACAGGTGCTCACAGGGCAGAAAACTTGTTGGTTGCCTTAAATATGTCTACTTTTCTGTACAGTTGGTAGCATTGGGTTTAAACCCAAATGAAAGAAAACCTCATTCCTGAAGGCTGCTGACAGTGAACACCTAGCCTGGTGATTGCTGCCGTGCACTCCCCAGCTCTGCAGTCAGCATTTGATTTGCACACCACACCAACTGCAGCAGGGTCTAGAGGCAATCCAGAACTCAGGCACACACAATTCCTTCCACCAGTCCCACATACACACTTGGGAAACAAAGTTACACTATGCCCTCTCAGAGACACATGTTTGTCCTGCCCTACACTAGGCAGCAGCAGCCAGGAAATACCCTGTGTTTTATCTGAGTCCCACCCTAACAGCAGAACTGTGACGTGTGGGACATTTGAGAATCATAGCAGGCATGCAGTGACTGCTAGCTAACATCGCACTTGTCAGCCCTCTCTGGGGACTCAACTGATGCCACTTCTTCATCTTTTTTTTTTTTCTAATTTTATTTTAAAGACAATAAAACCAAACAAAATCAATTGAAATAAAACAGTGAGAAGGAGACAAGACTTCAAGATAATAGGAAATCAACAATGGCTACCATAATGCCTCGTGTTATCTTCAAAATAGCTGCCCATATCATTAGACATGATAAAAATCAAACAGACCAGAACAGAATAAAATGAAACCTCACAGACAATGAAAGTGATACAGGACTTCAAAATAAGGCAACAAGAAATCAACAATGGCTACAATATATATCTTGTTATCTTCAAAGTTGCTGCTCACACCATCAGACACAGGAAAATCAAACAAAATGGAACAGAATAAAACCAATCAAAACAAAACAATGCAAGTGAAACAGGACTTCAAAACAAGGAAATAGGAAATCAACAATGGCTACCACCTTCCCTTTTTAGGCATTTCCTCCCCTTTCACCTTCACAATGTCTACTGTACATTTTGGATCCCACTAACTCCTTCAGTTTCTTTTACTAGGGAGACAACACCCATGCGAAGTGAGTCTGAACTAGTTCACTCATGAACATGATCTCAAGTTGCATCTATTTACCTACAAGAGCCTTGAGGTTATCCTTCTTTACAGCTGAGGAGCTTTCCATTGTATAAAAATACCGTATCTTTCCTATCCATTCTGTGGCTGATGGGCAAGCTACCCCTGCTTTTTTCGTCACATGAAGTATTGTCTTATCTCCTCCAATCTTTAGTCTATCAATTTTCTTTCACTGGTTCCACTTCTATTTTCAAGTTCAAGAGAACCCACTAAGTATGTCCATATTACAAAGATTGGCCCTCTCCCCTCCAGAGTAACAATCCCGAGCCCCAACTCCAAATCTGAGGTGCTCAGAAATACCTCCCAGCAGGACAGGACAAACTCAAGCATGTTACACAGGACTCTCCATCTTATCCCCAGAAAACATCTCACTTCATGGAAAACACAGCAGCCACTTCGAGAAGCAAAACTGTCATGGCCATGATTCTCTGGGCAGGGCTGCCAGGCACAGTCTCTGCTCACAAGTCCAGCATACAACAGTGCCTGAATCATGCCCAGTTACGAGCCACTTAGGGTTTGCCAAAACCAAGACATCACGCCACAGGAAGCCTCGCCCTCCACAGAGCAGCCCACCCTCAAGACACCTTTGCAGCAAATGACCCAAGATCCAAAAGTCACTTACCTCGGAGTGCAATGTGCCTCCCGCACACAGACTGTAGACGCAGGCGTTTCTCGGTGCCCTCCGGAGTTCCCTGGCTGCCTTAGAGGTTCAACAGATGCCTCCTGCAAAGGATGGCAGCATAGACGTCAAACCTTCAGGCCGCCTTCCTGAGGCAGCTGTTATTACAAAAGCCCTCAATTTGTGGGTTTGCCTGTGTGCCCGTGCCTCAAAGCCAATGACGTGTCCTGCCCACTGTGCTGTATGGCTCCACAGCGTCTCTCCCTGAGGCACAGGACTTAGGACCCCATGGACACTTATACTCCAGGCAGGAACCAGCTCCTGCCTGCAGCCTGCAGACCATGAGACCCAACCCAACCACCCACCCACCAACCAAAAGAAATCAAAAAAAGGACAGCTGGTTGTAAGCCACTGCGGGAGACTTCCCACTGCAGGTCTTGTCTGAGGTTGCAATTCTGTACTCCCGAGCAAGTGAGCCCAGAACCCTCACAGGTCACAGGGAACGGGCCACAGGCAGAGTGGAGAATGGTAGAAACAGCTCGTGCAGGATCTGCAGCACAAGATGCCATCGGGCAAACGAGCAGCTATCTTTCCTTGCACATGGTAAACATACGAAAATCACTACTAGCCAGGTGCTGTGGCACATGTAATCCCAGCACTGAGGAGCCTGAGGTAGAACAATCACAAGTTCCAGCTGGCTTGGCATACATCATCCTAAAGAGCATTAAGCAAGGCCCGTCTTGAAAAACTACCACCACCAAACCAGGGCAGGGCAGTGGGTGTCTGTTGGTTCATTTATTAGAATCTGAATCTGTGGCTGCAACAGGGCTTTTTTTTGTTTGTTTGTTTCCTCTTCAGAAATATACCAATGCAGGCAAAAGATGCAGAAAAGGCTGTGAGAAGGACATGGAAAAGGAAGAATATGACAGAGAAGGAAAGGGGGTGAAAGTGAGTCAGACAGACCAGACTCTGAGGTACTGAGAAGCATATGTACTTTCTAGGAAGTTTTAAGTTAATTGTTACTATCAAAACTGTCACCCTAAAATAGTGCAATAGTTTAATGCATCTTAAAAGATACTCTGTCCCAGCGCAATCCTGAAAGATTCTTGCAAGTTAAAAAAGAATAACAATTACAATAGACATTAGCTGGCATCAATATTTGAAAAGCGGCTAGGCTAGGGATGTAGCTCAGCAGCATAACACCTGCCTAGCACAAATGAAGCCCAAGATCTGATCCTTAGCACTGTGCCCTCCTCCAATAAAAGGTCAGAGGGCTATCTGTATTCTAGAGAGCCAGTGGTGGGTATGGTGCCCACATCAGCAATCCCAGTGTATTTAATCTCTGGTACCTCAAAAAAAAATGTCTGTAGTATGTGAAGTCTTAAAAGCACCCACTTTTACTTCAAAAGAGCCATTTACCAAGCCTCTGCTTGGCATTAAGGTAGAAGCAAGCTAGTAACAGGGAAAAGATAACAAAGGAAGTGAGATTAAGACAGGGTGGCTGAGAAGGGAAGGTGTGGGTCTGCAAGAATAAGGCATGACAACCACCTTGTATGGAGACTGCCCTCAAGCACCTGGCACACAAAGACGACTCATGCCAGTGCTGTAGGCACTCAGACAGCTGTGCTCCTACAGCACCACCAGGGCTACTGTGTTCTGGGTGCATGCAGGTGGCTCTAGGCAGCCAAGGCAGGCAGCAGACACTCTGGCCCACAGTGTGATGCTTACCTGCACGTAGTGGTCTGTGGACGGTGACGACCGGGACCGTTCGTGAACGTACTGTGGTCTCTGGTGCTGGTCCAGTGCTGCATCCAGAATGTCATCTGCCGAATGACACCGCCCGGCACTTATGGCTTCCAAAGGCTTCTTCTGTTCCTTCCAAGAGGCTTGGTACTCTGCAAAAGTCCCAAGTCTCTGTGGCGGGTCCAACTTCCCAGGGTTTTCTACTTTCCTGTAACCATTGAGGATTTCTCCAAAGGAAGGTGCACGTGACCTCTTCTGCAGCCGAGGCTCCGTGTTTTCACCTCCTGGGCCTGCCATCCCTGCGGTCCGTGGCCTCTCTGCCTTCTCTCTTGGGAGTCCGCATGCAGCTTGTCTGTGGCCTGGCCTTTGGAGAACAGGTTTGCTCGTTTCTTCAAAAAACTTCCACCTGTCAGCGAATGTGCCCATGCAGTCCTCAGGGGTCCCAGGGTGCTGATGCGAACTGCAGTCCCCCAATAGCCCCACCTGGTTCATTTTCTCTGGTTCAGAGTACGACTTCAGCTTCTGCTCTGCCGTGAACCTTTTCCGGCCCCCAACTCGGGACACTTGGGGCGGCCCACCTCCAGGTGATGCTGGCTTGGTTAGACCTGCCTCCCAAAAGTGAGGTGCGCAGTCCGGCTCCACGGGACAAGACAAGGTGGCACCATGCTCCCTGGCCCTGTGTTCTGGGGGCCCAGGATACTGGTCTGCAGGGCTGGGGTCCAAGTCACGGCGCTTGAAGGAGGTGGCCCTCAGGACCCGTGCCTGGGCCTCCTTCAGGTGGTCTTTGTAGGTGCTGGAGAAGGCACCTTCTGAAGGGACCCCAGGCTGGGCCTGCCAACTGCCAGCCTCTGCATTGGCCCCACTCCCCTCAGCCAGGGTCGCTGTGCTCTTGCTTTTCTGCAGCTTGGCCCTGCGCAACTGGATCTCATTCCTCAGTGTGGTGGCAAACCGGTCGCTCCTCCGTGCAGGTCGACCCACCTGCGCGTCAAAGGGTGGCAGCTTCTCCATGGCGCCCAGCTGGCCCTCCTGGCTCAGTGAGTGCAACATGGGCGTCCGCTGGCGAGAGATCCTGCTGCCCTCCCCGTCTGCCACCCTGAAGCCACCAGCCAGTGGCCCCTGCTCGGCGTGGCTGGTCCTGGACAGTTTGTGGAATCCCAAGGCACCACCCCCAGTGACCGTGTCTGGCAGGGGACCAGGCTCCTCTTGGCGGGCCAGGGGGCACCTTGGGTTGGGGTTCATCACCGGATGCAGGGAAAGGTACTCGGAGGTCCCTGGAGCCACATTCCAGTGCCAACACTCCCCTGGGAACGGGGGCTGCCTGGCAGCCACACAGGAATAGCTCTGATCAGCAGCCTTGGGCCACCTGACTTGTGGAGGGCCAATATCCTGGCATTGAGGCACAGGCAGGTCCTGCCACCCTCCAGATGGGGCCACACGATGCCACTCCCTCAGGGACATGGGCTTCCCAGTAACGCCCTCATCACTGCACTGGCATAGGTGCTGGCCCCTGTGGGGAGGCTGTGTTTGGGGTGCATCAGCACTGGACAGGGAGGCCTGGACCCTGCCCAGGGGACCACCTGGCTGGCTGCACTCATGGTGGCCTCCTGATTCCTTCCCAATGCTCAGGCACCTGGGCCTCCGCTGGCGATCAGCCAGGTCTGACCTCCAATCACCACGAGGCTGCAGCTGGATTGGGGCTGCCGAGAGCTTCGTGGCGGCCACCTCTGAGAATGGAGGGCCCAGCGGCTTCTCATGGTTCTTGGTGGCAGCAAAACTGTCACTGCGCAGTGGAGGTGCAGGAGGGGGTGGTGATGGAGGGGCTTTTTTCTTGTCAGGAACATGCCAGATGGGCCCGAAACTGGACCTGCTGGAAGCGGTCAGCTTGGGTTCAACAGTGTCCTCTGGCCTGGGGCTTTTACTGCTGTCCCCGGGGGCTCTGGAAAGGAAGGTGGAGGGCCTCTCCTCCAGGGCCTGAGGGGCCGCCTCCCAGAGCCCAACTTTGTGGAGGATGTTCTCTACTGAGGAGGCCTCAGCCTTGGGCAGGGTGTGGTCCGGGGTGCCAGAGCTGGTGGAAAACGATCCATAAGCCGAATCACGCTGGTTGGGGCCACCCAGGTGGTTGATGCTGCTGTTAGACTTGGCTGCCAAGAGGTGTCCAGAGGGGGAGGGCTGGGAGGGGTGGTCCAAGCTGTCAACGCTGCCCAGGGAGCTGAAGTGGTCCGATGTGCGCTGTAGGTTCCTTTGCTCCCACGAACTGGACAGATCTTGGGAGGAAGAACTACAGGAAAAAAGAGCAACAGGAACATTTGCAAATGGCAAGATTGCTGGGCAACAGCTGGATGAACACAGCTGGCCCTCCACAGAGGGTCAGGATACCAACAGCAACCTCCTAGGATGAGCTCCCCGGGTCTGAGATCTTACCTAGCACACCTGAATTATGAGGAGAGAAGGGAGAAAGGCAGAGGGAGAAATGGGGAAAGGGGACAGAATTCTGGGGGGAAGGGGAGGGTGGGAAAGAGAGACGGGAGTAAGAAGGCAGGGCACAGGGAAGAGAAGTGAGGGGAAGGGAAGGGAGGGGAGGGGAGAGGAGGGCAGGAGGGCAGGGTACTTCTGGAGGACTGGCTGGAAAGACTGAGGTCCAGTTCCCCTACTGGAGGCCTTTTCAATAGATCCCTTTCACCACTGGGGACTTTTCACCCTAATGCCTATAGCAGTAGCAGGCAATGCAGGAGTTAACCCTTCTGTGGACCATCTCTCATCAAAGGCAGAGACTGGTGAGTAACAATACATGAGCTAAGGATTTTTTTTTTTCTGTTTCATAAATGGTCATGGGAAAAGAAACCAAAGAAATAGTATTTCTATCTGACCTGTGAGGATGGTATGAACCACCAAGTTCAATCCACATACAAAGATTTACTGGAACACAACTGTGCCCATTTGTCCACGCATAGGCTATGACTGCTTTTGTACTACAGCAGTAAATCTGAGCAACTGAGACAGAGCCCAGTCGGCCTGCAAAGCTGAAAATACCTGCCCTCTAGCCCTTTGCAGAACCAGCGTGCAGATCCCTGCTTTAAGCGTATGTCGTAGGCAGTAATCAAATGAGAATAATTTTAATATTGCAGGCTGGGGGAGTAGTTCAGTGGCACAGCATTTGCCTAGCATATATAGGGCCCTGGTTTTGCTCTTCAGCATTATCAAAAAACAAAAGAATTTAAAACAACAAGAAAAAAAATTGAAAGATACTTTTTTTTTTTTTTTTCGTCTTCTTGAGATTGAGTCTCACTATGCAGTTCATGGCCTTGAACTCATTTGGTAGCCCAAGCGGCTTTTGAACTCACAGCTCTGCTCCTGTGTTAGCCTCCTGAGCCCCGTGGGATTACTGGCATACACCACCATGCCCAACTCTGAAAACAAATAATACTTTTCCAAACCCAAATACTAGAGGGTGACTAGCTTCTCTCTAAATGCTAGACCTTGGATATAAGACTGACAAGATGGGCTTTCCCAGCAAAACAACACATGGCAGTGTGCAGTGAACTGAGCAAACCTTGCAGGGTCACTGGGGTGAGGCACAAACACAAGAAACCCCATGGTACCAACCAGGATGGGACCGAAGATGTAAACAGTCAGCTGAGACATCACTCTGTGATGCAGTAACTGTGTGTGCAGCTGATGGCTCTTACTGGTGAATTATTTATCCTTTTTAGGAGCTTCTCATGCTTTCCTGAAAGTTTCCTGAAAGTTTCCTGAACTTTCCTGAAAGTTTCACAAAGCTAGAAAATACACGCTGGGGCTGGGGGTGGGGAGATAAACAGCTGTGGCTATGCTAGGCTTGGTGAGGACAAGATGAGAAAAGAATCTTCAACCACACCAAGGACATGGTTGGGGGGATGCACTGGTGAGCTCATGTAAAGGAGGGAGATGACTGCACAGGTTGGACACTGCTACGTTCTGTGAGCTCCAAGACGGGGCGTGTTCCTGACTTCTCTCCCCAGCAGCGATTCTGCCTTGAGATCCTAGGTCCGAGCAGAAACAACAGCACTGAGTGCTGTTCCCACACAGACGTGGGCAGCACGCCTGCTCCTCTCTCTCTCAACAGCGCCTGCCAAATTCCTAGTGGGCTCAATGGACATCCTACGGCATTTAAGTCACTTCAGTAGAACATGAAAGGCTTATTTTTTGCCAAAGTTTTACAACCCGGTTAACAATCTGGTTTTGCAAGAAAACTCTCTGGGCTAAATACAGTACCATCCTCCCTTGTCACTCTGAACACTAATACTGTATTTGAGGGATACTTCCTTCACATTGCATGTTGCCTTAGCTTGGAGTTCTGTGGCAGACCAGTATTTATTAATAGACAGGTTTTGAGATGAGTATATCAGTTTTAAACACACACATATGTGTACACAAACATGCATGTACACACACATGCAGTCAGATTCCCACTCATATATGCACAGAGGTACACACAAACATACCCATATGGATACATATACATCCATACACATTTATAGTCATACACATATATACCATGCACAACAAACACACATGCACACATATGCACATGTGCATGGGACACACATACACATCCCCTAAAACTACACTACCTGCACACAGGGATGTTTGTCACTAATACCAAGACAGGGTTGGGAAGAAGGTAAGAGGCACAATAGGATCTCCCTGGCAACTTTCATAAAATACACCCGCCACCCCACCAGTATCTCTAGCCTTCCAATCCTTTGTGAAACCTTTGAGAGAAGGATGGTGGCTGTGCATATGTGCATGCCACAAGAAGCTATCCACCCTTCTGAACCCCCGACTGCCTGGTGCCCCACAGAACAGTCCCAAAGGAAAGCCACTGAGGTGACCCATCCTGAGCCTTCTGGTAACATGGAGAATGCTCATCCTCCCTCTTGTCACATGGTTTTCTGTTTCCCACTGTCATACACTTTGCTGGCCAGTGAAACATTCAGCGTTCTAACCCTAACCAGGTATTGACCAGGTAACCTGGTCTCATCAGAAACATTAAAATCACCCCAACATTGGATAGCGAGAACATGAGCACCTACGTGGTGTGGTGGCAGCCATGCCAAGAAGAGCAGCCACTGGTGGAGGGAAACTGAGAGGCCGCGGGCTCAGGGTGGTCATCAGAGAACTTGGTGGCGTGCCATGAGTGGGGTCTCCAGCTCACGTCGTTCCTTCTGAAAAAGAAAGAGGACAGCTGAGGCAGGGGCTTTGCACACTGCACACTTGTGTAACCAGACAGGAAGTCTGCACTGCCTGCTTAGTGAAACCCACAGAGTGGTACTCGGGCGCTGGCCACTGTATTCCTGCACACTCACTCTTTTTAGGAGCTTGTCAGTGCCCACTCTGCCCTCATGCTGAGTGGGAGTCATAGGGTGCAAAACATGCGGCAGCACTTATTCCTTAGAATTGATTCCTAAGGGCTGAGGATTTAGCTCAGTGGCATTAAGCACCTGCCTTGCAAGCTCATGGTCCTGAGTTTGATCCCCGGTACAAAAAAAAAAAAAAAAAAAAAGAATTGATTTCTGTATAAATACACATAATTATCATTTATCAATGAAAATTTTATACATGTTAAGATAAATCTGCTCTAAAAAAACAATCCCCCAATAATGTGAACAAAACTGGAGTCTCCTTATCTTAGATACTGAGTTTCAGTGCAAGTTTGCACAGGACTCAGAATCTCCTTGGGAAGAAAGGATGAGGATGAGTCCCTGAGTTGGCTAGTTCACACAGAGCTCAGGTGGCATGGCTCTACTGATGTGGTGGACCCTGCTGTCTTGCAGCTAAGCTAAGTAGGACCAGGCTAGTGCTCCTGTCTTTGCGCCTTGCAGCATATGCTACAAGGCTGACCCAACACTTCTTAGCATCATAATCAAGGCGCCCCCCACTGACAGGCTGGAGTCTGTTTCAGCAGAGCTTTTCCATATGCCATGAGCCTTCCTGAGCCCTTGCCACAATTGCCACCATCCTGAGTGTGGCCTCTGGGTGCTATGGCCACACCTGCCCAGATGGCCAGGTGTGTCCCTCTGGAAAGCCCTACAGGTGCTCCCAAACCCAAAGACCATCTAGGCCGCTTTCTCCTCCAAACCTCCAGAAGAAAGCCAGCTTTCCTTCCCTCCTCAGCCTCTGAAGGCAGCAACAAGCTCCCCATGGGTAGAATGAAGAAAAGAACCCAAATGAGCATCTTCTGCTGCCTTACAATGATCAGACATCTCCCCCAGCAGGCCACAACATTAGAAAACAACAAAGAATTGCTTTCTAAAATGAAACCAAAGCTTTGTAACACAAAGGTTTTGATGACTCTCTGAGACAAATTCCTATACCACAGAAGTAAGAAATTACAAAATCAAGACTATACCTCATTGAATTCCTTAAAATCCTTGTGAGGAAGCTTCTGGCCATGTGAATTTCATTTTCAGCTGGCTTTTTGGGTGCTAAAATATCCCCTGCTTCTTTCATGTTTCTTTATAGTTAGTTAGAGAAATAACTTACATTGACTGAAATGGAGGCAAACAGAAAGAAAAAGAAAGGTGAGAAAAGAAAATGTCTGGTGCTTGCTGCAAGGCTGTCTGTACTCCAATGCCCAAATATCTGGTGTACTAGCTGGGACTGGTGGGGCTGCAGTCCTCAGTAGACAGAAGGAATGTTCTTCCCGAAAAACTACCATCAGCCAGCACAGATAAAAAAATCAGCCATGAAGTTGCTCTCACAACAGATGTGCAACAGATTAAAAATGGCTGTGAAGTTCTGCTACTCCCTATGTCAACACAAGTGGCTTCACATTCGTCCCCTTGACCCTGAGCTGGCCCAAGTGACCTAAGAAACAGAATGGGAAGAAGGCCATTCTGGCACATTTGAGCACATCTACAGGAAGCCATTTCTCTTCTTCCTAGATGCCTGGAAGGAAGGAAGGAAGGAAGGAAGGAAGGAAGGAAGGAAGCCCTCCACCAACTAAGAAACCCAGCAATCTGGGGTAGCCATATTGTAAGGGTGCCCAAGTCAGCCTTGCGGGACAGGTGGCAGAGACTGAAGCAAACCACAGCCAGTGGTCACAATGCTGCAGCCTATGCTTCAGACAGATCAGAAAGAGGCCACTTGCCATGATTCCCCTGCAGAGAGGGCGTGAAGAAAGACTAAGGAACCCAGCCAACAGCCAGGAACCAGGTCCCTAATCCCAGGACATCTCTGCCTATTCAATCCCCCCCATCACTGCCCCTCTGCACACAGCGACACCCACTGTAGGACAGTGCATCCCTGCTGTACTGTTCCTCGATTCCTGGTTTGGCCCTGGACAAACAGGAGTCAATGCCAAGGGTGGTCACTACCAAGACAGGAAGAAAGAGGCAGGTTACTTACTTCTAGACCTCTGATGGTTGCCACACATCATTACTAAATTATTTAAAATAAAATAAATTCACCCTGGTCACATCACAGAGGTGTTCCACAACCATGGGAGACTGGTGGCTGCTACACCAGGTTATGCGGACATGGCCTTTTCTGTCGCTGCTATGAGTCCCACTAGACAGCACACCACTCAGTGTGGAAATCACCTGCAGTGTCTTCCTGCCTGCCCTGCCTACAAGAATGAGTAGCCACTGGGGGGCATAACCTGCAGCAAAACCTCCATCCCAGAATGACCAGCCTGAACACATGGCACACCTCCCACAGATGGTGTATGTTCTCATGTCTTCGCAGTGGGAATTCCACTTTGATATCCCAAATGGAGGAGCAGGGGCTTCTGATGTAGCACAGATGATCGGGATAGAAAGCAACAACCGGAAACCTGCTTCTGAAACTCTGCAGGAAGCACCTCCTGACCCAAGTACCCAGAGCTTCAAGATGTAGAATTGGTTCAAGGGGAATTACCTGTCCCCACGCATCAACTGCTCAAAACCAAGTGGGAAGCGACACAGAAATGGAAGATGATTCGCAATCGGAGGGGAAAGGAGCCCAGAGGTAACATTAACCATATGGCACAGGTAGGGGGGAAAATGTCCACCCTTGCACTGACCTCCTAAGAAAACAGGGGTGCTGTAAATGAGGCAGGCAGTAACCAGACACTATCTAGCAGTCAACAGAGCTAAATGATTCCATTCCTGGACCAAAATGTCACTCTAAAAACATGAAAAGAGCTTTTCAAAAAAACTGTAATAACGATTAATGACAGATAACATTTCAAATGTATTCTAGTACTCTAAAAGGTTTTCTATATGAGTAAAATTCAGCTTACATTTAATATGGACCTTAACAACCAATCATTTGGTTAAAATGTGGATTCTCCCACTGATGGATAAATAGATAAACAAAATGTTCAAAACGCATACAATCAGAAAAAGCAAAGAAATTCTGAGACCCGCTACAACACAAGTATCATTATGGTAAGTAACAGGACAGCTACAAAAGGCTGTGTACTGTGTGATCTCACTTTAAGACAAAGCACCTGGAGGAACCACATTCCTAGAGACAGAAAATACTACGGGAGATTCCAGAGGCTGAGACAGGCAGAACAGGGATGGGTCATTGCAGTGGACTCAGCAGAACTTCAGTTTTACCAGACAAAAAGAGTTCTAAGGAATGCACAATACAAATATACTTACCACTACTGGACTGCACACTCTGGGTGGTTATAATGATAAATCACCCGTTGTGTGTACTTTACCACAGTTACAAAAAAAAAAAAAAAAAAAAAAAAAAAAATCTTAAAGTCTCTTAGGGTCTCTAGTGGCCAGAGGACATGGCTGTGCTGTGCCACGCTGTCAGGACACAAATGCATACACAGAGGTTAAACTGCAGGCATGCAAATGAGGGGTCAAGACCCGAAGTCATCGGAGTTGGGGTGCAGGCCAAGCACCCCCCCGCCACCTACTACCAACACAGTTTCTGGACAGAATAAAGAAGGTTAAGTTCGAGACATTTCTAGGTAAATGGATGCACCTTGAGATCAGACTCTTAAGTGAAGTACATTGGACACATATCTGTAAATATCATACTGTTTCTCTGGTGTGAGAAACCTAAAGCATAAACAAGGACCAAAATGTATAACAGATTGTGGAGTAGGAAGAAAATCTTCAAATGGGAAGGGGAATGAGGGAGGGATGAGGGAAAAAGGACAGAAGGGAAAACTAACCAAAAAAAGAAGAAAGAAAAGTGGAGCCAGACGTAGTGGCACATGCCTGTAATCCCAGCACTTGGGAGGCTGAGGCAGAAGGAACATTCCAAGTTCGAGACCAGCCAGTCTGAACTGTATAGTGAGACTGTCTCAAAAGGACCAAAAAAAAAAAAAAAAAGGAAAAAATGGAGGACTAGGAATATAGCTCAGTGGCACAGTGCCTGCTTGGCAAGGTTGAGATCCAAAGTTTGATTATGGCACCAAAGGGAAAAAAAGATAATGGAAACAAAGCTTTTGTAAATGGGAAGGGGAAGAAGGCTTGAAGGGAGGATAGAAGAATGAGAAAAAGGAAGAATCAAGTTATATCACATACAGGTACAAATTCTCCGTGATGAATATTGTGTATATCTAAAACATTATGCGTATCTAAAATGTTCTAATAAAAACCTGATGGCGGGGGGGGGGGGGAGCAATTTCTAGGCAGAGACATGAGCAGGCACTGATGGGTGGAAGAGGAGTCCCGAGGAAATCCAGCCATTGCACGGCCCTCGTCCATGGCTCGTGTCCTTGGGGGCTAACTGCAGGGCTAGGCTGAGGGAACACAAATGACCTGAGCTGTTCGGCAAAAAGACCACACAGAGATGCAGGTGTCTAGTTCAGGAAGACTCAGCAATGACCCTCACAGGGCCATTTCTTTAAGGGAACAAATGAAGAAAGGCAACAGAAAGGGTTATAAATTCCTCCCATGGCTGATGGCTACGATGGTGTTCACCCGCAGTGTATGCACTTTTTTGGTTATGTCCTCTGAATTTCCTGAAAAATCATGACCATCCTTGGGAATCAAATACAGGCCAGGCTGAGGACTTTCAGACAGAACGCTCTGGTGCCACCTAGAAGCCACCTACATGCATTGCACCTCCAGCATGGTTTCCCTCAGGCTCAGCCAGCACCTTGGTGTTCATGATGGATTTGAAGGCCTCTTCCCAAAGTGGCTGTGCTGTTCCCTCCCTGTGATATACATACTGGAGCCCCAGAAGTGCAGGAACTGTGAGTAGGACACAGGAT